CCAAAGGTATACAAGGAGAAAAAGGAGAACCTGGCCAAAATGGAACTGGCGGTGAGAAAGGAGAACCAGGACCAGAAGGGCCTGTTGGACCTCCTGGCATAGCTATGGGGCAGGGTCCTAAAGGAGAGAAGGGGGATAAAGGGGACTGTGGCATATTTGGGGAGAGAGGTCCTAAAGGTGACCGTGGGGAACCTGGTGCTCCAGGCATTCAAGGTGCAATGGGGATTCCAGGATTGCATGGCAAACATGGCACCCCTGGCCCTGTTGGCATCAGAGGAGATCCAGGACACCCTGGCCCTCCAGGTGAACCAGGGGTTCCAGGGCCCCAAGGGCCACAAGGGATACAGGGAATGCCTGGGCCAAAAGGGGATAGAGGGTATCCTGGCATAAGAGGTGAGAGGGGCTTCCGTGGATTAAAAGGAGCAAAAGGTTCAGGAATGCCTCAGAAACGTTCTGCCTTTAGTGTCGGCATCTCTCCAAAGAAATCCTTTCCTCCCTCTGGCTTCCCAATCCGCTTTGACAAAATCTTCTACAATGAAGAAAACCACTTCAACATGAGCTCCAATAGCTTCACATGCGTCCACCCCGGGGTTTATGTCTTTTCCTTTCACATCACGGTACGTAATCAGCCTCTGAGAGCCACACTTGTGGTGAATGGGTCACGGAAAGTCAGGACACGTGACTCTCTATATGGCCAAGATATCGACCAGGCATCAAGTCTAGTGGTGTTAAGACTGGCATATGGAGATCAGGTCTGGATGGAGACATTCAGAGACTGGAATGGGGTGTACGCCAGCAGTGAGGACGACAGCATCTTCTCTGGGTTCCTGCTCTACTCAGACAAAGCCTAAAACCTATTTGGTTTGCAATGCTGACAATCTGTCTCTTCTGCTTAACTGTTACAACCTCATCACAGCAAATACTGAGGGTGCTATGCTATACTGTAACTGTGAAATACTTGTCTGTAAATTTGTTGTTTAAATTCTCTCATCAGGATTTGTGAGTAGACCAGTCACTCATAACCTCAAATGACATGTATCACCTTTTCAACCCTTAACAAAAAGGACAATTGTGATGACAGGGAGTCAAATATTTAAGGCATATCATACATACAATTGAGTTTCTTTGATTCTCAAAAAATATTAGAAAGAATACAAACAACATATTAAAAAATATACTAGAATCTATAAAATACATCCAACCAACACTAAATAATTGTTTTCAAAAAGATTATTGGGGGACCTTCTATGTCGTTGTACATGTCGACCAGAAAAGTACTAGTTCTCATCAAGGTTTATTGCCTCTGGTCAGAAGACACATGCCTCTCTGTCATGCCTTTATATTACAGACATTTTAGGGGTTGCCACTAATGAAACACTTTTTTACAGAACAAAAAAATTCTTAATATATAAAGACGAAAACTTTAAATCAGACAAAACATCAGCATATAGATCTGAAAAAATCAAATGTTGTAGTCAAAAACACCTGCAAGAACCCCCCCAATAATTTACAGACTCACAGTATAGCAAAAAAAATAATAATTCACTCTGATAGCGTTTCTTTGAGCCAAACTCAAAAAGGCTAGAAAGGAACAAAAATTAAGACACAGAAACCTGCATTGAGTAAATGACATAGGTATAGCAAAGTTTAGAAGAGGTGTACCAGTAGAGTAGTCCCCTCCATATATATATGCTGCATGTCTTTCCTCTTTCTCTCACTACCAGATTACTGTGAAAAGGGCCTTTAATGCCATTAAACCTTTAACGAAAGCCTTACAGAGGAATTAAAAAAGACATACAAATGATCACAAACGTTTTATTTTTGCTTTGTTATTGAAGAAACCATGTCCAGTATAACTACACATTGTGAATGTAATCATGACCGTTTTGGACCTTTAAACTTTGTCAGGTTGCATCAACAAATTGCACCTGAACATGTTTTTATGGAATATCTAGATTAAAATAAAGTAGTTTTAAAATGGTGAAACGGAAGGAGTAGGAGTCAAGGTTAAGACCTACTTTTTATGTAGTTATTCTGCGTCAATACTCTTCAGACCTGTGTGTCTACAACTTTTTGCATACAGTATTCTCTGAAAAATTTGTGAAGCAACGTCACATTACAAGAAGAGTGTCTGTTAACAGTAAATCTGTAAAACTGCAGCATATCCTTAATTGGATTGGACCTTGACTGGGACGTATTAACACCTGAATGTGTTTTGAATTCAATCATACACATTTGAGCTCTTGTTGCATTTTAAATGTGGTTGCTCTACTTGAAAGTGATACCGTAGGTTATTGTCTTGTCATTTTCTACGCCTGTCTTCATATCAAATGTTGCATTCAGCTTGATGTTTCGTATTAGTTTTCTGCCATGCATCTTATTTTGAAAGTTGCCCCAAAAAGTTCCATTTTGGTTTTATTTCACCAAAGCCTCTCATTTCATAATTATGCATTACTTTTATTGACAAAGCAGTTAAATGAATAAAGATCAATATTTTTGCAAGGTAGTATACAGTGACAGATTGTGGGGATCTGTAAAATATTCACTTATCCTAAATGAAGGGCCAATTACTTAATCCTGTAAATTCACTCAACAACTCCCTGCTCTGGTTTTTTAAATATAAAAACCCTTATTTTGTTCCTCTTACCAAACTGTTACATTTTTCTTTATGTTTTTCGCTAGTTTTTCTTTGCTTTAACATTCACCTGACATTTGCAGTGTTATAAGTATCTATTTATACCCCTGAAAATTTTCAGCACTGTTAAACATTCAGATTTACTCTAAAACTGATAGTAGTACAGTTTTATGATTTTTTTTTTCTGTTAATTTAGGAAAAAAAAGTGTACTCTTAATTTCCAAAGATAAATAATTATTTCCATCAATGAGTTACTACACTACTGAAACATCTTTGACAGTACATCATGTATTTCTCTTCAGATTTTTTCATGCTTATGTTACAGTGTGGGGTCCTGTCACCTGTCAATGCAAATGTCATTTGAATTTAGAAAGCTTCTTGGAGGGGAAGCGAAACGTCTTCAAACCTTGGAAACCAAGTCCAGTGGATTGTTTTTAAACTTTTACGGAATGACTATGACCTGGATGACTGAGAATTTTCATCAGCATGTCTCAAGTACAGAGCAATGAAATTCACTCTCTGCATTTAACCTATCCCCTTGGAGAGCAGCGGGCTGCCCTTGTGCAGTGCCCAGGGAGCAGTGTGGGGTTAAGGGTCTTCCTCAGGGACCCAGAGTGGCATCCCATGGGTGTGTCCCAGAACCTCTGGAAGCCAAGCACAGTGCCCCAACCACTAGGCCTCCACTCCCGCTTATTTCTGACAATTCAAACATGTTCATATGCACATTTCTCTACATCGTCTGGCTTTGTACCAATGCCCAATAGCGTAAATATCGGTAAGAGGAGACAGCAGTTGCTTACAGGCTCACAACCTCTTAGGGGCCCCATCGCTGACACCTGGTTGGCCACCTATGCAATTGTAGACCAGGACGTCTCTTTGAAAATGTAATGAAGCAAAAAATGTCTCTTAAACCCACCTGATACTGAAGTGACTGACCACACCAGACCGTATTTATTCCACAACACATGCCACATTTCAACATGAGGTGAGCCATTTAAACACGAGACCAATAGCAAAGCATACAGTGGTACTTTTAATTACTATGTTAATAACTGTGTATAGTTCATTAGACGGTTGGTAAAAAATACGCTCATATAATATGTTTCAAACCGAAATTAAGATCTTAAAAGTACAATGTATAAGAGTATTTCATTTTTTACACTACGGCTTGGAATTATGGGTAACCCAGAGTGGAGATTAAAACCATAACAGTTACGTACAATGTGTGAGCAACAATGGATACCCAAAAGAGGTACTTAAATGGATTCCAGAAAAGAAAAAGGAAAGAAGAGCTGCCTGGAGAATGGAAAAAACTTCCCAAAATAAACACGTTCTTTCAAAGAACCGAGGAGGGAGAGGTGGATGTTGCTGCTACAGTGAGTAAAGATGTGGACCAGATGAATGGAGAGAGCATGGGTGAGAAGGGGGCTCAAGGTAGCCTGATGGCTTTTTGTGCTAATATACTAAAGTATATCCATGTCTAGTGAAGGTGAATGATGAAGTGTGTATGTAAGGAGCACGTTTCGGGGCGTTTGTCTACAGCAGGGGGGAGGATTAGGGGTCGATAAGCATCTCCCTGAAATGAGTTTTTGGAACTTGGGATGTCTGTAATATCACCAATGGTTCCATTCAAGATGCACAATCACTATTTCTCCGTGTGTGATGTGTGATCATATACTAGTGAGAATTGTATAATTGTATCTTCTTGGCTGATTTATGGAACTATCACCCTATCCTGAACCTTTAACACGTGTTGTACTTCATATGGGGCTCACCCAGATAATGTTGCTTACGGGCCTATAGTTGTGTCGTTACGCCACTGCCAATGCCTTCCTCTTTGGCCACAATGATAGAAGAAAGTTTTGCCTCTGAATTTCCATCCCTTATTGTTGAATAATATTTAGTATTTGAACTGCATATTCATAAAGCTACTCATGCAGAAATGGTAGCAATCACCGCTCTGGTGATTCTTGCAAAAGCAAATCCCTTTGTTCTTTTAAGATGATCAGTTTTGAGCATGCTGACATGTTTGCAAATGTTTTAATACATGAAAGCCTTTCGAAGATGAGGCCTCTACTGTCCTCATTTCTTTTTTTAACTTCTGTTAAAATAATTATCTTTGTCTTTTCTTAATGAATTAAATATTTTTTTTCAGTGCTGCAGGATTGTAAACAAAATATTAATTGAAAAAGTCAACAGTTCATACAGCTTATAGAAAACTTTATTTGGTTTTGACAGAGATTTTCCTTTAGACTTAGTAAAAATGATGTAAAGAATTATGAGACCTTAAGAGCATAACTATATTATCAGAACAGTGGAATGGTATTAATCAGAGAGAGAAAGCTAAGCTTCAAATTATTATGATGGAAACTGGACCAAAGGAGCTGAAATAGGACCGACTTGCAGATATGTCAAAGGACATTCTAAAAGAAATCCCTCATAACACACCTTAGGGTTCTGGAGTGTTGGTTTGTCCTGGAAACTGGTCTGGAGGTGGCCGACTAGTTAAGACCGGTAACTCCAGATGCAACTCTGTGTCCAGATCAAAAGACAGAGTTGGATCCAAATGCTTTGGTGTTGTTGGTTGAGTTGGAGGATTCGAGGAGAAGTGTGGGTGTGACACAGAAGGAGATGATGACATTTGGTTTCTGTGATGATGATGATGATGATGACCATTTGGAAAACTCATTTCTAGTCCTGTTGAGTCAAAGACAGAGAGACCTTAGAGGTCTGGCATGACTTTGATGGACTTTTAACAAATCAAACTTTAATCAGCCAGTGTTAGCACAAACAGTAAAGCGGATTTACTATTAAGCAGATATACTATTTACTATTACCTGTAACATCTCCAAAGCTTTTGGGCTCACTCCACCTCATGATATCCAGCTTTGGCACCTTGGCTCTGCAGCTGTACCATCCTGGTGCCCGTGTGACATAGATGTGGTTTTGTGATTTCGCCGGTCCCAGCAGATGGTTGTTCTTGTAAAAATAGTAGTTAACTGGAGGGGCAGGTGCATGGGCGTTGTACTGGGTGTGGCAGATCAGCTTCATTTTATTTCCTGTGGGCTGTAAGTTTTTGTCATCAATCTCCAACACCGGCAGGGTTAGAACCTCTGAGAAAGATGAAAGGAAGAAAAAAGTTACTTTCTAATTTTATTTTGCTTATAGCATATTTTACCTGATATGAGCTGGATTCTGTTGCAATACTTTTAGAACAGCTTGATCACTAGTTACCCTGCCTTTCTAATATATGTTTCAGTATCTCTTATTTAGACTCTTTTTGCTTTTTCACTCATTTTCAGTCCAATTTCTATGTCTGTGATATTGGCTGAAAAATGTTTCACACAGACGATTATGACCTTAAAATATTCAAAAGTATTTCCTTAACATCCAAATAACTTAAATAAGATTTTTCAGTCAATCAGTTCTACAGGTGTATAAAAATGAAGCCCCTGGACATTTTGAATGTTTTTACTAACATTTGGGAAGGGAAGGGTGACTCTCAAGAGTTCGATAAAGTGTAGCAAGAAAAAATGCCACCTGTGCAAGAAATCATAGGATTGAATCACACATTTAGGAGCTAGAGGTAAGACAGCAACCTAGCCAGGTCACATAGACCAATGGGGGGTAGGAGATAGCTAACCTTCACAAGAGAATAAAACAGTCAAGGTGTGCTCTCCAGACTGCTAATTGTACTTCTCCAGCTGTCAATCTGATGGAGCAGTGTGATTTTGTTGGTTGCTAAGAGAACAATACTTGTCTGACTGTGCAGTACCAAGTGTAAAGTTAGGTGGAAGGAGGGGTCCTGACGTGGGATTATTTTTCAAGAGTCAGGCTTGGCCTCTTAGGTCCAGTTCAATCTCAAAAACTCACACGAAGAGAAAAGACACCTAGGAGAAATTTATTGATACAATTACTTGTCTTTGTTGCTCAGACCTCGGCAGAAAACATAGCACTTAATTTTGATAGATATGCATGAACAAGAGCAAAGAATAGGGCTCCCCCCAGGCCTGAAACTGGCGGTGGAGTTATATATTTTAAGAGCTTTTGTTACTCAGAAGTACAACAGAAGGACTTAGTTGTGCATTTGCAACAAACAGTTTCTCTCCAGCTCACCAGATAGCACTGCTGACTCACTTTCAACATGCCTGAGTCCTTGGTGTCACTGAAACAGATTTTCTAAGCACCAATTTCAAGTAAGTATCACTACCCATTTCCATTATTTTGAAATCAACACTACATAAGATGAATCATGAATGTGTATAGATATGACTCATGCCAATAAGTAGATTTTACCTCCCCTGGGGTTTTCACCAGAGGCATCTCGATTTCAAAGTTGTGGATTCGCAACGTGTGCCCAAACAGGTACCAATGGATGCTACATGCTTTATCTACCAGTTTGCCTATATTTTGAGCAACAGTTTAACAGAAACAGCCTTCTCAAGAGGTTTTGAGATATCAGTGAAGAAAATGTCTGAGATAAAGTTGTCTCTAATTTTGTAACCAACCTTTTTTTTTTTTTATTTTGTTTTGTTATTTTTTGGTTTTTTGACATTCTAATAAAGTTAATGTTCATATCAGATTCAGTCTTTAGTGTTAATTTACCACTCCGGGCCACTGTTGCAAATCTGCAACATCCCAGAATTCATTGCATGCGAAGGTCTCTCAAAAAAAAGTCTGAATTGTACATTATTACCCCATATGATCATTTTTCCAAATATCAGATTTTTCCTGCAACTAAAACTTAATTTGAGCCTGAGAGGGTAAATTTAAGAAATGTTTACTTATTTCTAGATCATTTTTGCTTTGTTTATCTGGTCAGAGTTGCTGAGAAGATGGAAGGCGCTTAAAAATTGTAGCTAAACACCTCCTAGAGGCTGAAACAAGACCTGGATGGAGATTCATGCTCCAATGGATGCCCAAAAACAAAAAGTCTGAGATAAAAGTAGTGGTTTGGTTTGCCTTCTTAAAAGGTAAGGGTGTTTTTGCGAGCTTAGCATCTAAAAACATGAAATTCTGAGTTTTATGTTATTTGAGGACATGGTAATGATTCATCCTTAGGGCTTAGAAAGGTTTCAGCATTATTTGTGCTTATATTTCTGCATTATTCATGTCTGGTTAAAAACAAAACAAAACACGTCTTTGTTAATAGTCAGATTATGCTGAAGAATTTAGTCAATAAGCAGACAGAAAAGGGCAGTTCAGCAACTGAAAAATACTTTTCTATTAATAAATGTGATTCTTATTTTCACCACATTAAGTATTAACTTACCTAAAATATTCACAGGAGTAGTAACTGACAACACAGAGTATGTTCGTCTCTTCATATCCCAGGATGCTCTGCAGGAGTACATTCCTTGATCCCTCAGGGTCACATGGGGGAGGCGTAGATATAAGCTGCTCCCGTTCTGTACCATCACTTCAGTTCCATCTCTGTACAGGACCGTCTGATGGACGGGAACCTGCCCTCGGACACGGCACAGCAAATGGGGGCTATCTCCAACAAGAATAGGGTGTTGTGGTGTTTCCAAGATGACAAACCCACCTAAAAAAAACAAAGAAGAAGGTTTCCTGTTAGTCAAACTGTGGAGTCAGTCTAATACTTTTATTTGAAATAGCGATAATCTTTTTTTGCATTGCAGTGCTAAAGAAGAACATGACCAGGCAAGGAGTAGGGTGATGGTTTGAAAGTTTTTTAATTTGGGAAAGAGGAATAAACACGGATATGCAAAAACGCTTCTTTCTTGATTAAAAAAAAATAACTTACCATCAACATTGATCTCTACAGGTGGACTTCTGTGTGTTTTTATGCTTCCTATCTGCGTCTCCTTCTCTCCTTTGCAGGAATATTTGCCGCTCTCTTTAATGTTGGCCTTCCACAGCGAGAATATTTCCCCAGACTGTGGAAGCTGCACAGATCCCCTGAACCAAAGGTAATTCCACGTGGACTTGTAGAAATCATCAATGTTGCATCTCAAGCGTAGAGGTTCCCCGCTGAATATACGGCTCCTCCCAGAAACTATTTCAACAACTGACCTATATGGCGCCACAGTGGGAACTGGACAGGAAATAACACAGGGGTGAAAAACCATTGAAAAACAGCTCTGATTTTCTAATATATCAAAAGCATAAACTATAAATTAAAGAACCTTAATCAGTTTAATCAATCAATTTAAGGGGAGATTAATGATATAGTTGCATTTAGTACTTACCCTCAGACACAACCAGGTGTGGTAAAACTGCAAGAACTGAAGCAGAATAATTAAGCATTAATATGTCAACATATTAGCAAATATCTTAAATGAGACCAAAGCAGTAAACCAAAGTAAACCTACTGAGGAGGGAAATGACTGCATCCATTGCGCTCACTTCGTCTGTTCGACACAGAAGGGACAGGATTTTTTTATCCTAATAAAAAGAGAAGTGGAACTTTCTTCACACAGGATATCCTGTTTTCCAATAAATGCTGCCCTGATCAATTCCTACATTTAGTTTAATGCAGAACTGCTTCATTTTCCTTGAGCTTTATTTCGAAACATTAAATTTTTTTGAAAGTGTTCCAGATAAGTAATCAAAATTCAATTACACTGAACCGAAAAAATAAACCCATCAATTTTGTTGTAGCTCCCACTTTCCATGAGTTGAACCCAAATAGTTTTTCTAAGTAGAAAAAATTTCTCTTTTTTCTGAAATATTCTTATATTGAGTTATTCATGAATGTACCTTAGTAGAAAGAGGAAGTGCTGAAAATTGTCCCCAGTACTTAGACTTATTGAACTATTTAAATCAGGTTTAAAAACAGCTGAAGCATTGAAATACTTGCAGTTATATAACACTTTAATATTCCTGTTTAATTTTAATTGTGTGCAACGTTGGAGGGTTTGATGTAAATAAGGATCTAGTACGTCTTGGGTGTAGCGAATCAAGAGACATCTACCGTACCTAAAAGCAGCCCATGAATCAAAGGCCTTGTTAACGTCAATGAATTTCACTCTATGATACACAGATATTCTATCCTCACAGATTGTGATTCACTCACCTCAGCATACCGAAGGCTTGAATGAGCTGAAGCAACAGAGTAGTTAGTCATAATTTCTCATGAATTCTGGGGAAATGAAAGACGGTGGAGCACTAAACCTTCAGCCCAAAAAGGAGTGACCATTTAACCTGAAGAAGCAGCTTCTTTACTGGAAATTTGCTGGAAAATTTATAATAGCAACTGAGGTAGTTGAAAAACTGTTTTGTCTGTGTTTTGTACATTACATAGTTATTGGGGTAAATGGTGGAAAATTAGGTGCTTTGGTTCCAGCATAGAAATCCCTTTTAATACTTTTAGTATTAAAAATCATATATAAATCCTGTGTTAACCATCTTGGGCTGAAAATTGTGCTCTATATGCTGGTGAAGATTCTCAGTCATCTAGGTCATAGTCATTCAGAATCAGCTTTAGCTTTGTGATATTTTGAATTGAAAAAGCTTATTGGATGGGAAGCGAAACATCTTCAAACTTGGAAACAAGTCCAGTGGGTTGATTTTTAACTTTTTTTTTTATCTTGGCTCTATACTTGGTCTATTAACGCTCTCTATTGGTCAATTAAACAAATAACTACATTAATTTTAAAAAAGGCCTAAAGATGGCCTCTTCAAATATTTAGACTTCATTACATGCAATTAGATTATTACAAGTTAATATCAGGTAATTGCTATGCATTTGAAATAAAACACATAAATGTTTGAGTTTAATATTGTTTTTTTCTATCTGTCAAAAAAAGCCCAGCTTAACTGCAAAAATATCACATGAACAGGAAAAAGAAACTTAATAACACAGTTATGAAATGCTGTAACTGAGGTGGGGAACAGAAAAAATGCTGTCATGGCAAATTATATGAAATGTTTCCACAGAGTAGCACTAAATTCACACACAATATTTAAAACACTTCTTAATGTTTGGATTCTACACCATACATGGCAGGAGATAAAGAGTGACAGAAACCTAAAACTCTACATTTGAGGACATATGTCAGAAAAAGACTTACCGTAATATACTTTAGAGCATTTCGCCCTGAGTCCGGCTTAAAAGTTGTTTGGAACTGCAAAATGTTATATAACTTTTTTATGAAACATAACCTACTATATTTTTGTTAAATATCTGCCATAGAAAATCTCTTACTATCTAAAAAAACAAACTTTATTAGTCTTTTTAGCTTTTAAATAAGGATTTTCTTCTATAACATATTATCTGATGTAAAAAAAAAAGTAATAAAACATCATTTCCAAGCTAAATAAAAGAATATTTTATCTAAAATTGTATTTCTGGTTGTGATATTCAAATCAAATATTTGTTTTAAAAACACTAAAGATTCTAAGACTGGAATTTGTTTTTGTGGTAAAATAGTTCAAGAGCCATTGTAGAGGGTCTGCAGGTTGCACACCCCTGCTTTAACGCAACTTTTTAAAACAAAAAAATGAACTAAATGAGCTGTTGACGTGGAAAAATGATTCTGCTCAACCATCTACTTAAGAAAAGAGAATTTAGGTTACTTTGACTTGGGTCGAAGCATTCATCCTTTGTTATCTGCATTCTAAGTTCAACGTTCTGAAATCACCCTTCATGTTTTTCGACTCAGCAAAACTGAAGAATGAATTCATTTGACCCCAAATCTGAAGAAGAATCTCCCAGTTAAGGGTGCCGATATTAGTCACAATCAATGGCAACTACACACATAGAAGTACAGAGTTTCATTTTTATTAATCATCATTGCACTCCTGCAGATGTAGGTAGAACAAAACTGCCCCAATAAATTAAAGTTTTAAATTAAAGGCAGTTTTGAGTTAATCTCTCAGACCTGAAACTACAACAAAACTACAATCAAACACTTGGTTTGAAACACTTGTTCATCAAGTTCAGGTTTCAGTGCAAAATTAAAAGGTCGATCAAGCTAGAGCAACGCATTGCAAGACCCTATTGTCAAACTGAAGGTGCTTACCACTCTTAGGTTACAAATATCATTCAAAGTAAAACAATAATCTTAAAAGAAAAATAAAACCTAAGCAAATGAGAAAATGGAAAATAAGCCTCTCACATGCTTTTTCCTTCCAAACAAACAGGAAATGTTTTTTTCCACTGAGTCTGCCAAAATACAATGACATGGAAACAAGCAACAATCTTTACCATCTTTCTCACCAGAAAGATGAACTTTCGTTTCAAATGAGAAGCCTTAAAAAAAAAACAAGAAACAAGGTGCAGCACAACATTTAAAAAGAAGCGACCAAGGTTTTAGAAGTAATTATGTCCTGCTTTTGAAGAAAAATAGTAACATGTAAAGTAAATAAAAGCTTTGATGGAGTAAATGATGATCAAAGACACTATTTTAAGTAGCCTCTTAAAAACAAGATTATTCATAATTCAGATCACATGAAGTTAAATTTAAAGGTAAATTCATCAAAGGAGGAGGGGTTTCTGAAACTTTGTAGAAAAATATAATCTGAGCATCCAAGCTGATGACATTTGGATGTCCTAATGGAGAACTTAGTGAGTGTTCATTTTGAAGTAAACAGCACATATGCATGCCTATCCATGCACAATTCCTGCACACACATCCTCTCTTTTGCTCCTTGATTATTTCAGGAAAAAATTAGCTAAATTCAGCACAAATCACAAGTATGACTTGAAGAGTGATGTCAGTGAGTGGGGAGTCATTTGTTGCTGGTTTACAAACCATAGTTCTCTGTTCTGTTGTTTGAAAGTTTACTGGACATCTCACATCATGCCTGAAGGTTGAGGGATCAAACACACCATTTATCAGTACTGCACAAATGTAACAGCTATAAAAAAGTACTGAGGTACTGCAAGTAGTGGATGACAATAGGATATGTTTGGAAGAGCTTATAGTGGAGTGTTTTCCTCCTTTGTAATGAAAGGAGCCACATCAGAGGATCAGGACGTTCTGCCCCGACTCTCTGCAATACTCCATCTCATGTGGAGCTAAGGTTACATTTCATCACTTATTTGCCTTTTCTTTGGTGAGGTAAAAGAGAAGATCACTGAGACTTTACTATTGCATGTGTGAGCAGCTTTGCCTTAAAATTTGGTTTCCAACTCCTTTCTCTGCAGCTCATGGCTATGGCTGCAGCTTAAAACGGATCGTCTCTTTTAACTCTCTGCAAGAATGGAAATAAGCACAGCTACTAAAATCCCAACAGTTACGTCATTGTTCAACATGTTTTTACAGTCTTTAAGGTAACAGAAAGATGGAACAAACATGGCCGGATCTATACAGATTCAACAGACGCTTCGTGTGCATATGGAGTGTAGAAAGAGACTGAGTAGAACCTCCATGCTAACTCCTGCAAAACTGACGGGAGTCCCATCAGCCAGCAAACACCTGAGGCTGCAGCGGCGGGGGCAGCCGCTCATTCTCCACATTGTCAGAGTCGATGGCCGATGATGCTGTGGATGCTGCGCCACTGGCTGCATCTGCTGTGGAGTTTTGTGGCTCAAGCGGAAAGCTCTCCATCTCGCTCTGCACTTTCTGCTCCACCTCATCTGTCCAGTCTATCAGGTCGTTCTCCAGCTGCCGAGCCTTCTCTATGACCCGCTCCTGCCTCTCATTGAGCCCGGTTAGCAGGTCCAGACTGCTGTGGACTTGGCTACGAGCTGCACTTCCCGAGGATGAGGAGGCTGCAGCAGGCTGCGGCCAGTTTGGGGACGTCTGGCCCGACATGTAGAGCTCAAACTCCTCAGTGGTCATGTTCAGAGACTGGCCATCAAGTTTCTCTATGAAGGCCACAGCACAGCACTGTGGAGAGAAGGCACAGAGTCTCATCAATAAAAATAATGTAACCCACCTAACAGCAACACACTTCACTCTTACATGTACTCAGATGATAAATAACGTCAGAAATGAGGGAGGGATTATTCTGTGTATCAACAGCGCCCTCTGCTGGATGCTTTCAGTTAATTTAAAAAGCTCTGACTTCAGAGAGTCAACCTGTCTACATCCTGATTAAACATACTGCAAACATACATCACTGACTTAATAAACAAAATAGAAATATTTCTTTTTAAACAGAGGCAACAGATGTTTTGTAAAAAGTCACAATTCCTTGACATTAACTCACAGATCTTTTTAAGTCAGTTTTTATAAAATTAGTTCCAGCCAAAGTTCATTAAGATCTTACAGTAGTAATGAGGTAAATGACTAGTCTACAAAAAAACCCTGCAGGGACAGCTAGAGAGACATAGAGCTGGATAGAGGGACTGGAGGAAGGAGTGATTGATAGACATCTGGCTGGTTGGATGAAGGGATGATGGATGAGAGGATGGAAGGAGGGATGGACAGAGGAACGGACTGACAGATAGATGGATAAATGGA